TATAGACCTTTTTTTTTTACAATGATATTCACCTAAGAGTCACTCGAGGTAGAGGTTTACACTGTAAGAGGCACAGTTTATGCGGATACATGGGGCAGTTAACGGTTAATTTAGTGATCCGGGAAGCATACACTTGAGAGTCGGTTTCACAAAGCAGCATTTGGTGAGAAAAAGCTGCTCCAGTCGAACTTGCATCTCACCAATGGAATACGAAGGTGGTCCGCAACAATGTGCGTGGGACTAAGGAATATACTTACTCTGAAGACTTTCCATCTTAATAGTGGGAAACTTGCGTCGTTTTTTGTCGGTGAGAATAACTTTATAAAGTAAATCTATGCCAACGGAGGACGCATATTTTCTATGACAATTTCTCGGACATTCAAGCCGGTAAATGTTGTTAATACTGTTTATTATAAACAGCATTTAATTAAAAAATGTCTTAAAATAATTGTTGAACTTTGTCCATTTCACACACACACACACACACACACACACACACACACACATATATATATATATATATATATATATATAAAAAGAAAGAACAGCAAGATATATAATCCGGTGTTCTTATAGATATTTTTATTTTTACAAAATAGTGCTCAATGTAAATTTACAGAGCATTAATATTATAAATTAATTGATTTAAAATATGTTTTTTTCGCTACACAGTTCTAACCATGTTTCAAAAATGGAAGCTAAAAGCCCCGAATTTAATTTTGTAATTAAAGACATTAGTATATATATATATATATATATATATATATATTGGAAACGTCGAAGATTATGCTACCACAGTTTCTGTCAGGATGGTTTCATCAGGCATTTGGTCAGTAGACCATTCTGGTAGAAACCGTGGTAGAATAAAGGTCCATATTTCCAATAATTTATATCATAAATTGACCTACATTTTCGTTTTTAAAATTGTATTGAATACTCTATTTATTTAGCTGGTATAAAGGTATAGACGAAAGGGCTCGGAAATACAAAACATTCGGACAGTTCTTACACACCCTTTGTCCAGAAAAGAAAGCTCTTGTCAGAACACAAGAAAAATTAACTAAAAAGCTCAACCGTAGTACCTTGTCTGTCGTTTTTAATGAAACATGCATATATATATATATATATATATATATATATATGTGTGTGTGTGTGTGTGTGTGTGTGCGTGTGTGTGTGTTTTATGTGTGTGATACTAGTTTATGTGAGCAAACTTTGTGAGCAAAAGTGACGGATGATACGGCTGACTTAGATGAGAAGTGGGTCGACCTTATCTCAATGTGTGGGGGGGGGTTAGGAGGGAGAGAAAGCAAATATAGAGGGACGTTCTGACACGCACGTGCTTGTCTGGTGTCGACTATAGGTTATTTCCAACAAGGAGATTTTCCACTGATGTTACTTTCGTCAAATTATATCTTTCTTCACTCAAATCTCTCCCCCTTTCACCTCCACCCGCTCGATATTCTTGCATCGATTTCTCTTCTCTCACATTTCCTTAACTCTCACCACGCACATCTCCAAGACTAATGCTTTAATTTATCCCACTCAAATATACAGAGTTCTTTGTGCAATCTAAGTTTTTGCCGGTTATAGTATGTTCTCGATTATCCGAACACGTTGGAACAGGGATTTGAAAAAAAATATAGGTCCAGAAAATTCCGAATAAGTGGATATCTAAATTACCGAAAAAGAATGATGAAAAAAAAAAGCTATTTTCTGTAAGAAATTTAACATTTATATAGGAATTATGCTTGCAATCGGAAAGAGAGAAAAATGGCATATTATAAAGAAATAGGAAGTAGAGAATTTATATCTCGCAGGACGTAATGGAAGGTAATAAGAGCAAGGAGAAAACTGTGAATAATGTACTTAAAAATGTTGAAAAAAAAAAGATGGCAGAACATATATACAGATCTATGACAAAGGGTCAGAAGTAAAATAGAACCACAATAAAACACTGGAAATTGTGGTGATCCATGATCGGCCACGTCCTGAAGGACACAACGCATAAAAGAAGAATGGTTACCAACCATATTTAGTATGTCGAAACTAGTACGGTACGAATCTTCTAAATGAAGGTGGAAAAATTGTGTTGTGGCATTTCTCCAACTGAAGAAATATTGTCCATTATATAACTAATGTTAATTATTTACGAGGCCTAAGAGCCATTCAAGACAGAGGGTTACTAAATGAGGTTGTTGTAATTGTTGTACAGGGAGAGAGGTGTATATTATGAGACTATGTAGGATAGATAACGATTGATATTAGAAGATAAATTTGTAGGAAGCATCCTCCCGGGAGTTGGTTCCATAAATCAACAATTCTGAAGAAGAAATTGCTTGAGCGGAACATCCTCTTCGCCAATGGCATATTAGAGTGATGATGATGAGGCGACTCAATGTATGTGGACTGGAGGGTCCTAGCTGCGAAAGTTTGTATTCGTGGAACCAAGGAATATAGTTCGCCAGGACATATCCCATGAAAATAGCAATAGGCTAGTAAACGCTTCTTCCAGGGATAGCGGTTGTAGGGCAGGAAAAATCAATTGCCATCACGGCCGCTTTTGAACTCTGTCGAAGCTGGAAATGAAGAGTGGGTAGCCCCATCCCAGATGTAGCAGCAATAATCCATTTTTCGTCTAGTCAGGCTCTTGTAAAGATAGAGCATAGCAGAAGGAGTTTGGTACTTTTTGGTACAAGGAACCGGCTATTTTTCCAGCAACTTTAACTATGGATCATATATACGGGTTCCACTTGCGTTCTGGGGTGAGTTCCAATAGATGCTCCAGGCAAGGAGCCGAAATGTGAGTACAACCGTTCATCATATATCAATGAGTGGATGCCCTTCGGCCTCCAAGATGTCATGTTTTGATAGAGGTTGCTACTTGCGCATGGCTCCTTCCATCCTTTAAACTTGAAAATTGCTTAAATTAAATTTCCAGTGAGCAGTGAACGACCACGACGAGCAGTTTCCTAAGTTTTCACGCAATCATCATACTGGCCTTAATACTTATGTGTGAAAATCGGTACTTTACATCCCTAAGGCAATTTGAAGATGGTAAAATTTGTGGTAATCTCACCAAGTGGAGAGAAGAAAATGCCCATACTTTTGAAAAAATTAAATATCTTGGAAACGTTTTGACAGAGGACGGTAAGTGTGACACTGAGATCCGTAGACATATTGGGATGGCTAAGGACGCATTCCAAAATCTGGGCAGAATATTTCAAGACAGGAGAATTTCTTTGGTAACAAAGAGAAGAATAATGAGCACTTACGTGACATCTATCATTCTTTACGGCAGCAAATGTTGGACGATTTCTTCAAAGATGAAGAAGAGACTTAAGGCGATGAAGATGTGGTTCTACAGAAGGATACTAAAGATATCATGGACCAAGCATGTGAGCAATGATGAGGTCTTAGAGAGGATGCAAACAAGGAGGAGGAAAATACTTTACATCAGGAAGAGGCAGCTGGAGTTTCTGGGACACATAATGAGGAAGGAGGGCCTGGAGAATCTGATACTCCCGGGTCGAATAGAGGGAAAGAGAGACAAAGGAAAACAACGTATGACATACCTAGCGGACTTGATCAAGTGGATGGCAGAACGTAGTCTGGGGGAGATGGCAGAGGGAAGGAACTTGTTGAGAGCCGCAAGGAATAGAGGAAAATGGAGAGCCATGACCGCCTACGTCCTGAAAGGACATGGCGCATGAAAAGAAAGAACGCACACTAGAAAATGTTCACAGGTTTGCCAAAAATGTGCTCGATGCCATGGGAGGCACTAGGACCTTTCCAAATGAGGTTATTGCTAAAAGCAAAATAGTGCTCATCATTATCAGGCCCTCAAAGTCCCCCATGTCAGAACACATTTTGATGCATAATTATCACCGATCACTTGATGACTGCGTGAAAACGTATGAAACTGGTAGGCGCAGTCGGTCACTGTTCACTAGAAATTTAATTTAAAATGTAGTAATGGCTCAGCCAGTTAATTTATATTATAGTTATATATCTTTCTCCTATGTGCCTCTATAGCAGACTCTCTTTCAAGCTGCTGGCTTTCTTCTTTTATTCTCATTATATATATATATATATATATATATATATATATATATATATATATATATATATATATATATATATATCCGACCCTGTTTCTTTCCAATACCAATTTCCTGAAATAATTACTACTTTCCCAAGCCAACATACACTAAGATTAAATGTTAAAAATCAAAAGAAAACATTTAAAGTCATTACCTCATGTTTTTGAAGATGTACAGCAGATACGTCCATCTTAAAATCATGACAATCTGTTTACAATTTGAACAATAGTTATTAAATATATATATATATATACATATGTATGTATTTATCTATTTGTGTGTGTGTATATATATATATATATATATGTGTGTGTGTTTCTTGAATATTACTATCTCAATTTTATCTTATCAGACTTTGAATTATGACCTTGATAAACCAATGGCATTCTTGCCCGTGTATATAAACACGTGCAGCAAAATATATTTGACTGGCTAATGTCAGTCAGAGCACGAAACGGATCGGCTAAGAATAGTTTTTCTTCTTGTCTTTATATATATATATATATATATATATATATATATTTATATATGTGTGTGTGTGTGTGTCATTCGCAGACAGTACTGTTTCGCTGTATCACAGCTACTCAGTGCGATTAGACATCCGAACGCCTCAAGCCAGGATCGAAACCCAACCGATTTGGTGTCAGTCAGAGCTTCGACTACTAAGCTATCTTCACTCGGTCGAGTTACACAGCTAAAACTAGCGTTTTGTTTTTACGAATGTAAACAAACGCCAATCAACCGAAGTGCTCCAATCATTTTACTGAAGAGCTTTGCATTAGCACAGGTGGCTGTTGTTTATAGAATTAGGTTATCACTCAACAGTGCTCAATTGAAATATATTTTCCAGAGCTAAATTATGTCATTCGCAGACAGTACTGTTTCGCTGTATCACAGATTGTCCGTGCGATATCTATCTATCTATCTATCTATCTATCTATCTATCTATCTATCTATCTATCTATCTCTCTATATATATATATATATGTATCACAATTTTTTATATATAAAATATTATTAAATACGACGGACAAGGAATGCTTTGTTAATTTTTTATCTACTTTTCTGTGTTTTCGTAGAAAGGTACAAATGTGTTCTTGCTGGAGTAAGGTCGTATTTTTCCTACACCGTCATAATGTTTGAATAATTTATTTTGGGACCACAATTATTCATATGCATTATTCATATTTAATAGAATCTCAGAACGAACAAAGATAAAAAAAAAAAATCAAGTATGCATTGTCAGTCGTATTTAACAAAACTTATATATATATATATATATATATATATATATATATATATATGTGTGTGTGTGTGTGTGTGTGTGTGTACTTAGGTAGCATATTTTCATTCA